ATACATAGATATGGAGTGACAGGATGTCTCTTAGTGTCATCTTTCATTCCTCCTGTCATCCTTGCCTCTTTTCAATCTATCTCTCCTTTCTCTTTCTCTATATCTGTCTGCCCTGTCCTCCCTTGTCACTCTATTTCTTTTGGGCTCAGAGGGTAGCGAGGCCTGAGGCGACAGAGGCTGTTGTGCGGTAAGCAGGCTCCACTGCTGCCTGAGCCTGGCACAAACGTGGCACAGCCATGATGGGCCACACAGAAACACCGTAGCATAACAGAGATTGCTGTCGTGCCTGCTGAATGTCGCTCATAGCCATTCATGAGCATCGGGGGTAAAAATATAACTTGTGAGGTTGGTGTCACATAGACTTGGAGCAAAAATGAGAACAGACATCAAATGAGGGTATTAGGGGCCAGACTGGATAAATAAATCAGCACCAATGAGAAAAGCAGCATGCTTCACTGGCTGACGTGTGGGGGTGGAAACAAAAAAGGGTAACGAAAAATCAATATCTCCAGTAAAAGTTTATTTCATATTGATGACTGTTTACAACTGCTTCCTGCTTTTTTAAAAACGTATTTCATTAGTAAGATGTTGCAGGTCTGATTCAAAGCATAGCTGGGGAGACTTATTTGGGTCAGGGCTGATTTCTGCTTTGGCTTCATCTCTCTGAACCCGGACAACTTCTGAACCTCGCTGTTGACGTCCGATCTGGTTTTGACCTCAGGTCCTCATGGGCCTCTGCCACCTCAGTAAACAGATATGGGTTAGACAGCTCCATTATCAAACCACCAGCTTATATCCATATGGCTGTTGCTATCTCCTTACTGCCCTCCATACGGTGCTCCAGCCAGACCTGAATTTACACTTCAAAGCACTGAAATGTACTCTATGGCCTCCGCCCAACTTCAAACAAACATCAGACACAGCAGTGTGATTATGATGCTGAGCCAAGGTGCCCATAAACAATAAATCTGGGAGTCAGGCTGCTCTGGGAAGGGGGGAATGTGCATTTGGAAACTTAACTATGAGCCTATCCCCTGAGGGGAGCACAGTTGCTGGGTCAGCAGATCCTTTAATAGTTACGAATGGTTTAGGACATTCCAATACAAGTCCCTGAGTTCGCACACATCACAAAACTGGGGGGGCGGTGGGGTTTCCACCGTGCTCCAGGGCATGAAGTTGCTCCAGAAGAATGTTTCCAAATCCCAACACGAGCTGCCACATCCAAGATCTTTCTCAAAACACAAATCTGTATTTGAAAGTGCAATATAGATGTTGTCGTGTGAAAACCTTGCATCGGCCATCGCTTTAAAGGATGTAAGAAAAACATGAATTTTTTTTTGTTTGCCCCATGGAGTTCTGAAAGGGTTTCACTGGCACCCAGGGCTGTAGAGTATTCTCAGTGCAAATAGAAAATGTAATCACTCCACTGATGTTCAAAATTGGAGTTACAAGGTTTTCACATGACGACACTGATATCCTCCTTTATAAAGCATTCATGAGAAACTCTGTGTTAAGCAGCGCTCCGGCTTTACTATTCCCCATTAATCGGTACTTTACAATTACATGGGCTGTGAGTGTGTCCCATTTTACTATTTCAGTGACTGTTGGATTTTTCTCAGTTTCCTTCTGAGCTACAGAACACAGGCCCGCTGACCCACAGCTGAGTGACACAGAGGAGATAGTCATCTGGGATGAGACACCACTCATCACTCTCACGTCACAGCCCACACACACTGACAAGCCCCCTCCAGCTCCACATAGCAAACCTCACAAGACGACCACAACGGACATCTTGTGACCAACGACACGGTTACTAAGGCAACAAGGGAATAAGCTATGCGCTAATGTCCCAGCCACTCTAAAATTAAGGACACCTTCACAGGATATAAAGCAAACACATGTAAACGGAAGCACAATTGTAGCGGTTGAGAGGTTTGTGTTAACCTCCACCGCACTCAACTGCAAATTGTTTAAGAAAGCCCCACCTCAATCAATAAATCACTCAGTCAGTCAGTGTCAGTGAGCGTGTGTGTGCGGTTCTCACATGTGCACATGCTTGTGCGTGTGTGGTATGCTGTGATAAGTGGGGCTTCAGGGCAGCGTTTTCGCAGTGATGACACAGAGAAAATGTCTGTGCACATCTCATCTCAAGCTCCAGCAGAAGCAACATTTCAGTGACAAAAAAGCTTTTCATTCTCTCATAACGTGATGGAACAGAGTGACCCGGACATCTAAAAACTGGTGCCATCAAATCGGCCTCAGACCAGCGTGATGGTGATGAAACCAGCCCCTGACTGCCAAACATCCCACAGCAGAGGCACAGAAAAGCATAGCGAGACTGGGCTGCTGCTGCTGGGTGGGTGGGTAGGGGGGGGGCTTGGTGACACAGTGGCACACAAAACACTGCTGTACTTAACAGAATCACAGCAGCCATCGTGTTAGTAGACAAGCTGTAACGTTTGGCTCTCTCACGGACCCGCTTGATGGACGTGTGAAAAATAATAGCACTAACAATACATATAAATTACAGCAGTTTGATGCTTTTAGCCTCAGCAAGGAGAGAAAATTAGCACTGGTGCCTAAGCACATGCATCATTGACGGCATGTGTATCAATAATGCATTGAGTTCGTCAGTCGTTTCACTGCTATTTTTAAAGGTGGGGGGGGGGTCAGAAAATAAATTAAGCAGCGTGGAGCTCACACAGGGCTTGTAGTGCTGAGGTTAACATATGTGCAACACCAACGTTAGGGACTGGCGCAAGTGTGGCCACGGTTTCTAACACTGCTGGCTACAACGAACAGCAGACTGAACCTGGATCGCCCTCATATCTATGATAACACAAACCTCACCCAGCCTAAGAAAGCAGCCCCAAATCACTTCATGTGCATCATTACGATTATGACTAAAAGTCACATCACTGTCAAGGTGATTAACCATAAATACAGCCAGTGAAAATGCACATTAAAAATCACTTAAGCTTCACCAACAGGTGTTACTCTCATAGATAGCTGAGCCAGGGCAAAACAATAAAAAAACAAATGGCACAATCCAAAATGGGAATGCTAACCTTGATTAGATGGCTGAAGATGCAAGGTAAACGAAAGCTGCCACTAGACTTGACCTCTGACCCTCAACTTGTTGTGGCAGATTGACAAAGAGCTAAAAGAGCCTGGGGATGCACTGCTGAAAGAAGAGGTCGGACAGATTGAGCAGACCTTTCATCAGTTTGGTTTATCCCAATATGCAGAGAGAGAGAGAGAGAGAGCTGCTTAAGCAAAAAAAAAAATATCCTGTTTTTACTTTAAGTGTCAGTGAGAGGATCATAAAAGTAGCCTGAAGCAGAGGGAGACAGACAGAGCTGGTTTAAACTGGGGATTTAAAATGGAGGTCTGACTGCCCCTCCTCCCTCTTCCCCTCCTTACACAACCTAGCTAGAGTAAGCCCACCTTAACACACACACACTCACACACACACACACACACTGCGCAGTATAGCATCCACAATGGTGTAACATCTTTTGCGATAAACAGCGTACCGCTTCAAATTTCCTGATTTATTTGCCTTCTACAACAGGCATTTTATAATCCAGAGCGGCACACGCAAAAAGCACACAAGCACACAAGCACACACACACACACACACACACACACACACACACACAAACCTATATTCTGGTGTTTTTCACCTATTCCCTGAATGGGTGAATGAGCGGGTCCCTTCCTGCACAGTAAACACAGCATTTCCATTAGTGTTGGGAGTGTGTTCAGTGCTCTGTGACTCAGACACTGCAGCACTGTGACTTTGTGTCTCCAGCTCAACCGCTGCTCTCTCTAACACAGAGCCTCAACAACATGGCCTCTGGTTTGTGCCACTTCACAGGAGCTATAGGGGCTACACAATGCTTTCCAAAGTGATGAGCTACTACAGGTGAAAGGCAGGGCACACAGTATCTGAGGAATTAGGGGTAAATAGCTTTTGTAACAGTCCTTGCTTTCAGCCACTGATGTACACAAAACTGACACACACACATACACACACACACACACACCGCACTTGTACCCGTAAGCATGCCCACATGATAATTTCTCTGTTATTTGCACACACAGAGGCAGAGGAATATGTAAATAACTTGAGAGGGGAATATGGATCTCTTGTGCTGGGAAAGGAATATGTTAATGACTGATGGTATGAGTGTTAATCAAGTGTAGAGTGCATAAATACGTTAAGCAATGTTGTGCACTCTATGCAGATTCAATGAATAGGGGATGGCAGCATGTAAATCGCATGATTCACTGACAGAAAGTCAGTAGTTAAAAACATATAGTTGTTAGTGTAAACAAATACATTAACTAGGAAATGAGGGGGGAAAAAATGGTGGATGTATCTGCACACGTGGATGATATTCTATACTGCTTGCTCCCGTCTGTTTTGCATTCACAACCCAAATCAAGACGCTGTGATAAGGGCTGTCGCAGCGGCAACAGTTGCCAGGGAAACCTGATGGCAGGATGCTGAGGGTTGGAGGGGACAGAAGGGGGGGAGGAGGGGACGTTTTATGCGAGGACATGGGTACAATGCTCAGGTTGATTTGCTACCATTGAAGGAACACTGGCTGGCTCGTTGAGATATGGCACCTAAAAGGAACGTGACTGACAAGGGGCAACGGGGTGCCTTACGAGGCGCCGATGGTGACGCCGTTTGGCGCATTTGTCTGAGTGTGTAGTCATGGCAACGAGGTGTTGACATAGTGTAATAGCACTCTGAACACTGTGATGGCGATGACATTCAGGAAAGCACAGAGCGAGTGAGAGTTAGCTTGTAAACCAGAGAAGGGCCTTTCCTGTCCCCCTGTGCAGAAAAAAAGGACCTAGTGCTGACCATTTCACATTCGCTATGTCTCATCTCAAGCAGAGCCAAAGGGATACAAACAGTTATACTACAATTAAAATTGATTATAACAAAAAGAAAAAAAAAGCCACCAAATTTCACAGACTTCAACTGCCATTTTATGTGCCAGGTTTTTTTAATTTTCAAAGTGACCTCTGCTAACAGAACATCTCTCATAATTATAACCAGTGTAATTAGCTAATTATAATAACAATAACAATATTACAATAAAGATAACACTTGATTTAAAAAAACAGAAAATAATCAAACTAGATAAAATCCCAAAATGAAAAACACTTATCATAATAATTTTGTTTTTTAAAAGAGATCTATAAGGTTCTACATTTTTTCATTTAATTGTCCTTTTTCTTTAGAAAAAAATTCACTCACCACTGTATACTGTACTGTATGTTACCTTCTCCTTCACTGAACAAGCTTCGCTTACCTTTAAAAATGCTTGGCAATGCCTGTCGTCCATTTAGCTCCCTGCTGCCTTGAAATCCACTCATACACGATAACATTGAGATACAGTTGTGAAATCCCCTGCAAAGGAGCAGTCTTCATCAAAGGTTCATGTCCTGTCTTTAATGCGTGACAACATGAGGGGTCCTGACTGCTTGAGACATCAGAGCAGACGAGTCAGTGAAGGCTGGACTGAGGAAGCCATTTTGAGGGCCAGGTTATTTCCTGCTGATGCATGTGGAGTTCACTTAGTGGCACGCTGAGTCCGTCCCACTGCCGTTGATTAGCCGAAGCCCAACAGGATCAGTCATAAAACAACTTCAGTGTCATATACAAATGGGGGAAAAAAGTACTTCTCAGCTATTTGTAGGCACAAGTAGTAATAATAATCCTCATATGAATAATAATAATGATAACCTAACAATAATATGTCATATCATCATTGTGATAAATCTTACATAATATGTAACCGAATGTTGAACAAATCTAGAATTTGTTTTTACAGAGCATGCTAAATTAGCATGTGCACCTTTTTGAGTAACATGTACAATAAAATATTGAACATATTGTTGATCACTTAATAATCATTATGACAAATAAAGCTAAAGCTTGTTATCATTATTACCATTATGATCATTATTATCAATACTATAGCTATACTGTATACTAAATGATGAAGAGCTGTAGTTGTATTCATATTTTCGCAGTAGAGCGTAAAGATCTCCCTTCTCCAATGACCCTGTTCAAGTGAATGCGACAGAAGAGGGAAAACACTTTGTGTGGCTACAAAAAAGTCAAGACCAAAATAAATTCACTCAAACACTTTGCCAGGTTTTTGTTTTAGCTCCCTCTCAACGTATGACACTCTCCCTCATGTGTCTTTATGCTGCACAATTGGAGCGGCCATCTTCTTCCAAGTTTGGAAAAGTTGTAAGGGAGGGCCACCACTACAACAGCTCTGTGTATTTTTTTTTTTTATATATTCTTCAGACGTTGTAGTTTTCAGTCAGAGGCTTGATAAAGATTCTTTATAATTTATTTCTTTGAATGAAAATATATTTACGTTATATATAATATGTACTTTCAGTCCTTTTAATATCTCTCATTGTCCTTTATGCCATGAGGTTTTTCTTCTCCCATGATAAACCACTCTGTTTCTCTCCTGCTCCAAAGAAGACAGTAGCCAGTAAGGTGTAAAAGGGAAAGTGAGAAAGTGAGAGTGAAACCACTCTGAACAAACAATTGTTGTACTGTCTCCCTGCAAAGTACTAGTCTGATACTGGTGTCCTGGACAGAATCGCTGCACTGCTCTAATTTTGCTTTCTCTGTTTTGTTTTAATGCTTCCTGGAAGCCTGGGACCATACCACTCACCCAAACCATTGTTTGATTTTCAGTGTCTCTGCCAAACACTAATCTGACAACATGTTCAATGTCCAATGTTATGTCTCCCTCCAAATATATACACTGAATGTGTCTGGAAATATACTAAGCAATCTGTATAAAACCTGGAGAGGCTCATTGCACATGTGTATTATTCATAGCTTTCCACTGTGACTGTGGACACAAACGAAAAGAGTTTGCTTGATCTTGGACTTTGGCAAAGACTATAGCAGGTTGCACAAATAACTGAATGATTCTGGTGTTTGCAGTTTACATCATATATGTTTGTGTCTAAATTAGTTGAACAGTATGTGCAGATGCTATTGGTGGGACTAGAGCTAATCAGATATCATACTCTGTCTCCTTCAGTCTTTCTATCTGCTTTTTTCTGTCAACAGACTGACAACACAAAGCAGTGACATATAATCTTTTCTGGAATCTGTCCATGAGGACAGTAGGCTACAATCAGTCTCATATACTCGGTCTCACAGGCTCTATCTGTCTCACTGTCTTTATCCAGCATCTCTTCTTTCTTACCTTACTTCCACCCTCACTTTTACTCAAATTTGAGTCTCTTGCACATTTTCCTTGGAGCCACTCTTAAATAGCAGGGGCTCATTCTGGCTTTTCCCCATAAGGCCTTTCAGAGAATTGTGGAGACCCAACTGGGGCAGGGGCACAGGGGAGGGCAGGGTGCCACCTGTGGGCGTTCCTCCACTGTTGGAGGTTGGAATCTGGGAACAGGATATGGACGTGTTTTGAGACTGAGAGCAAGGCGAGGGGTTGTTGTTGTTGTTGAGGCCCACACCAGAACCTGTGCCCATGCCCAGGCCCATCATGTTGTTGTTGAAGTGATGGGTTTTGTAGTAGTGGTTGAGGTGCTCCGATCGAGCCAGGTTAGGCAAGTTGACCATCTCTGGGTGGTGCAGTCTGAGGCTCTGGCCTCCTCCTATCCCACTGCTTCCGCTCTGCGTCATGGTGGAGCCTCCTGAGATGCCGCTGCCCCGACCACTAGCTCCGGCCCCCAGCTCATCCTCAACATTGATGATCTCAATGGCACGAGCAGGGCCGTGGTGTTTATGCAACTGATGCTGCTTCCTCAGCTTGTAGAAGACCACCAGCATCACCGCTGCCATAAAGGTAATGGCTACGAAGCAGCCAATGATGATCTTGGTGGTCTTCATCACATCATCCAGGCCTGAGAAGCCTGGCTCAGTGATGGGCACAGTGAAGGTGGGTCGGGTGGCCCGAGGAGACGAGGAGGACCAGCCAGCTGACAGAGAGGAGGCTGTGGTAGGAAGACCTTCTGGCCACAGGTGGCCCGAGGGAGTGGGGCCTGGGTGAACACGGATGAAGGTCTCATTGATGTCTACCAATGCAGACTCTCCTGGGTTCTCCACTGTTTCCACAGTAACTGTTGTAAAGTAGGTGTAGTTGACACTGGCATCAGCAGCAGTGACATTGAGGACAGCAGTTGCTGTGGTATTGCCAGCAGCATTGGTGACCATGCAGGTGTACTGGCCAGTGTCACGCAGAGTGACATTCGTGAAGTTGAGTGTGCCATCATGCAGGACAGATATCCGCACCCGGTAAGAGCCATGGGTCATTAAAGTGCCATTAGGGGTGATCCAGTTGACAGATGTTGTGGAGGTGCTTGTGCGACACTTGAGCTCAGCAGCCATACCCTCAGTGACATTGAGGTCGGTAGGTGGCTCGACAATGACAGGCGCATAGCAGGTGAAGTGGCTCTGGTCAAGCTCTCCAATATATTTGCCCTTTAAGAATGGGGGAGCATGGCAGCGGGCACAGCAGGTGGTGTTGCTGGGCACCGTCTCTTTCAACCACCAGCTCAGCCAAAGCACATCACAGTTGCAGATCCAGGGGTTGTGGTTAAGGTGTACCCTCTCCAGCTGGTGAAGGGGTGTGAAGAGGTCATGGGGCAAGGAGTGCAGGGAATTATGGGACAGGTTGAGCTCTTCAAGGTTTTTCAGGTCATCAAAGGCATTGCGCTCAATGACGGACACCTGTGAGTGCATGAGCCACAGCTTGCGGAGAGACACCAGGCCCTGAAAGGAACCAGGTCGGATGATCTCCAGCCGGTTTCCTGACAGCTCCAGCTCCTCCAAACGCACAAGAGCTGTCAGTTTGGGAATGTCTTTCAGCCCACACATGCCCAGGTTCAGGTATCGTAGATTGACCAGGCCCACAAAGGCTGCATCAGAGATGAAATCCAACTTCTTGAGCTCACCCAGATCCAGGCGACGTAGCGAGGGCACACGGTGGAAGGCATAGCCCGGCAGAGTCTCAATGGGGTTGTTGCGCAGCCACAGCTCTCGTAGCTTGCTGAGGTACTCAAAGGCATGTGATGGCACCAGCGTGAGGCGGTTGTCGAACAGCTCCAGTGTGTTGAGGTTGGGGAGGCCATTAAATGCGCCTACTTCAATCTGACGGATCTGATTCTTGGAGAGCTGGAGGATCTCAAGGTGCCTCAAGTGCTTGAAAGTGTCTGACTTGATAACCTGGAGGGACAGATAATGATGAAGTTACAACCCAGCATGTAGAATGATAAATAATATGATTATGATTGAATTAATTATTTTATTTTCACTAAGATTTGTGGGGTTACATTTGAAAATCGAAGGGTTTGGACAAAGTCAAAGTTTTACATCTTTGACCTAACTTACACTATGTGGAATCAACTATCTACATTATGAAGTTGGTACAAAATATTATTTGTCTGTTATGTTATTACTTGTAAGGATCACATATAGCAAAAGCTTTCCTAAAAGTACATGTTTTATTCATTTATTTTTGACTTATGATAGAATAGCCTACTAAATATACAGCATATAACCTTTAACATATATATTTTTTTAATTTAGAGGAATCTTTTGCAAATCATTAAAAAACACATAAAGGAAAAAACCTTGTCAATTAACGATTCAAAGGCACAAATATGGAATAAAATGGCATGAATCACGCATGTTAAAAAAACAAAAAAAACAAATATAAATCATTTATTTTTCTGCTCATAACAAATTACCCTTCCACCCCAGTGACTATTGCTGCCAGGGAAGGTAGGCTTTTCACAGACTCCCTCTGACTGCAGACAGTGACATGAGCGAGTTAAACATGTGTGTTTCCCAGCATCTGTTTTGGCTCAGGTTTATTTTCACCCCCAAAATACAAGACGAAATATACCCAGTGACCAAATAAGGTTCTTAGAATTCCTTCAACAAATTATTGTATGACTGTGGTACCACTGAGCGGCACAACTTTAGATGCGCTGAATGTGAAAAATGTTAATGTTAAACACTAGACATTATTCTCTAAGAGCTATGGTAAACTTACTGTAAACCTAGTCCTATTCCTAACACTGACCTTATTTCTGCTCCAGACACTCAAGTGCTTTTCACACTGTTGTTTTAGAGAGACTATGGGGACTTTCTACTCACACATTATAATCCCTTGATAATAAGCTGATTATCAGTGTAGGACTATTCACATCAAGTGTTACCACAAATCACCACAGAAAACAAAACTATGGCTCTACATTAATACATTTTTAGAATTTTCCATGAAATTTTTCTTTAATCCTTTTTACAAATGAATAACAAAAAGAGAATGTTTTTTTCTGCAGGAAGACATAATTCTACAAAACATGGGTGCCACGGCTCCTGGACAGCACACACTAGCATTGGTGTGGCTCACTTGGCCATAATTTGGCGAGGAGTCAAAGACACACTAGCTAGTGAGCACGACTAAAAGCCCCTTAAATCGCTGGTTGTTTGAGATATATGTGGCCAAAGCCCCCTGTGAAACACACAGACACTCCTGGAGACAGGCCATTGCCTCTTCTGTATGTAGAGCAGGAGAGTGTGTGTGTGTGTGTGTGTGTGTGTGTGTGTGTGGGGGGGGGGGGGGGGGTTAGGCAAAGAGGGGGGGGGGGGAGGGAGAGGATGTTAAGAGGGGGTGGGAGCTGTCAAGGCTTTACTCTCAGGGTACTCAGTGAAGGAAAAAATAAGCCAGAGAATCTAGGATGCCTTCAGGTGTTAAAACATTTTTAGATTTTTAATCATTTCAAGTGGGGCTGGAGGATACAACAAACCAAATCGGAATTTGTAGGCTAAAAATGAAACGCAACGAATACTGTTATTATTTAAGTACTTACATTTTTCTTTCATGTCATCATGTCATCAAATCATGTGGCATGATGTCCTATTTATGCTCTGTTATCGGCACATAATGTTCAATAGGATATTTTCTCAGAGGAATAGAACAAATCCAACTTATAAAGCAGTTTGACATAATAAAAGATGCACTGGACAATTTTAACAATGTTTAGGATACTCGTTGCTTTTTAGTAGAGGATATAAAATGTAATGGAAATTAATTTAAAATCACAAAAGAACAAAGCACTGTCAGCACCATGAACAGGGATCCAATTACTTCAAATGCTGTTGCAAAGAGTAAAATCAGCCCACTCTGTTTATAAATGTAGAGATTCATGTGCTTTGTATCGATGGTCTGTGGTTAAATGATCTTTCCTTGCAGCTGTAAAGCCACAAAACGCTGTCTAGGGACTCTAGATAAATTGGTAATGCATACAAAAGGCAGCATGGTGTCATGGAAATATGCCTTGCTTTCAATTCATAAAATATTCCCTCAGTTCAGCAGAGGCTTAAGTGGCTTTTTCTACCATTATTGCTGCTTACGTTTCTGTCTTTTCTCAGAACTAAAGTTTCTAAGGGAAAACCTGTATCAACAAGTCGTAACATCCACAAGTGGCTGCAAGAGCAAACCATCTCTCTGATTATGGACAAAAAAGGTGTTTAAGACACATATAGTACTGTATGTGTGTACTATACAAGATTTGTCTCATCTAAAATAGCAACAATTATAATAAATGAAATCAATAACTGTATTAAGATGTAAATAGGCTATGCACTGAAAAGAAATAGTGAAAACTAGAGACACAGACATTTCTAAAACATGATAAACTGTGTGTATATCTGTGATTTATGCTGAGTTGTCATTAAAAACCATGATCTCCAGTCTGTCATCATTATGTGAGTGAACAACCAGCAGTCAAAACAAAAAACCCCAACATTAATATTTAGACAACCATTCATTAAATTACGATAAATAATATGAATTTTTTTATTTTTGAGAACTAACTGGCTTGTTGTCATGGCAACATCTGTATGTTATGTGTTTCTGTGATGTGATGATGTTTTTTCATGTGATATAAAGCATTTCCATGCTAACTATTCTGTACAAAATGCACAACACAAATCAATATTGACATGAGATGATTTGACAAAACGAGTGAATTCCTCCAGCCAATATTTACCTGTATGGAGTTCTCCTGCAGGTTGAGGTATCGCGTGTTGACTGATATGCTTTCGGGCACCTCCTCCAAGTTTTGCCTGGTGCAGATGACTCGGCTGGCCTGGTTGGAGCAGGTGCAGAGGGAGGGGCAGGAGGAGGTGGCTCCCACCAACTCCGGCCCGGGGAGGAGGAGCCGCAGTAGCAGCTGGGCCAATAGAAAGAGGAAGGGGGAAGGGCCGGAAAGGCAGGTCAGCGTGGCGATGCGCATGGCAACTGGGACATGACCTTGCTCTTTAATCCGAAGGTACAGGTGAGGTGACTCCACGCTGGTGGATTTGCGAGAAAAGGTTTATTTTCCCTTTGGTCCTCAAGTGGCAATTTGTTCTTTTTAATTCTGCATCCTCTGAGATGTTTTTTGTCCTCTGTCGATCTCTGTGTTTTTACCTTTTGTTTTTTGAACATAGAAATATGCAGATAAACAGATGTTATTCCCTTTTCTTCTTGTGTTGTCTGGGGATTTGACTGAGGCTTTTTGTCAAGTGAGAAGAACCCAGGAGTTACTGTGGAAGAACAAAAGAGAGAGAGACAAAGAGAGGGAGAGAGAGAGAGCAGATATTAAAGACAGAACACAGACTGCGCCTCATGTTATTACCAACAGAGAATGAATAGAATAAATAATAGGAAGACATCTACAGTATAGCTTATCATGGGAGGGATTGTCAAAAAATCTTTGAGAAGCATTAGAACTTCTGTCACTGCTTCTATCAAATCCCACATAATCCCTGAGCAGACATTTAGTCAGAAATCAAATCCTCACACACAGGGCAGGTGGAAGCCGATTTCTGTAATTAACGGTTCAAGGAGTGGTACGAAAATATGGAAACACACAATCAAAAGTGGGACAATAAGGTATTTCTGCCTTGACTGCATTTAGCATGTAACCATGAATAAATCAGAGAGACATTCATCTGTGAAACACTGGTATAAACTGTTGTAAACAGTTGAGCACTATCACACACAATCACGCAATCAGGCAGCAATGTGTCTCTTGTAGATCAACTCAGGAATTACATTAAATGGCTGAACTTAGGTCCCACTCTAGGGGTATTGCAATATTGCAATTACTTTCATTATCAAAAGCTTTTTTTAATAAAAAGGGTCAGTGACATGATGCCTACATTTTATGTCCAGCTGCATTTTTATTTTCATTTAAAAAAAAGGTTGAAAGCATAAAACATACCATATAAATGCAGGACCTCTCTCCATATATGTAATTACTTTAATTTAAAAAAAAACATTAGTTTTTCTGATAATTGAAGTGTCAAAATGTCATGTGGTATGATCGTCTGGCCATGACTTCTGCTCTGAAAACTTCTTTGAAATTACTTTAAATCTATTCAAAATTGTGTTTTGCCCTATTTGTGTTTTGTAGTCCAAAATTGCAAAACATCTGTATTTCGATTTCCATAATAATACACAAGCAAACTTTATCCGATGATGTCCATTGTATGAACTAAAATGCCGTATGACCATCTACAAACAACTACTTAGGGACTCTTATGTTGAAATCCATTTGAAGACAGGAAGTTGCATCATATACCAATTTGCCAAGGACCCATGGAAACAGCAAATAGGTTTAAAACTCTCTCTCAGATCTAGAAAAAATAACAATTTTAATCGCTGATATGTAGTTGCCACTTTTGTGGGGTGGCATGACCTCAGAAAAACATTATATAAAGTTATTTCTCCAATATATATTTTGGTTATAAATTTCATGGAAATGGCTTTGTGGGAAGCTAGCTTGTTTTGTTTAGGTGGCCTATTCTGTGCCTTTTGTCTAAATTAGAAAATATAATGTGGTGCGACAAAATATCTATAGGCAGTTTAGTTTTTGTGCTTTTATATTCAATTGATAATTTGTACATATAAAGTACTTTTATTGTAGTATGATTTGGAATAGATTTTTTTGCAATTTGACTTACTTTTTCGGTAGCACTTTATAATAACTACACACTATAAAGCATTAGTTAAGCATTAGTAAATAAGGAATTCATCATTTATGAAGCATTATTCATTATTCATTATAAATGTTTTGTTCTTTATTATCTACACACTATAACAGTTAAGTATTAGTACATTTTTAATTCATCATTTATAAACCATTGTTCTTACGTTAATACACATTAGTAAGTCATTTATAAACATAATTTATAAAAATAATGTTGTATTCTTTATTAATAAGCTCGTCTATAATATGCTTAATAATTGTATTTTCATACTTTATACATGATCAGTTCACTATTTATAAATGAAGTATTATTTTAATGACAACCATTTATATATGAGTTGTTAATGGTTCATAAGATCATTTGGAAAGTTAAAAAAAAAAAATGACATAGGTTAACTGCCTGTTTTTTGATACTTTCCCGAGAAAGAATATAAACAATCTCAGCATAACTCGTAAATCTACCAGTGGCAAAGCAGTCGGAGGATGTTGTGAACACAATGTCATGAATTGTGTGTTTTCAAACTAATCTCCGGAGGTACTTTTGGATGTGTAAGCACATGTAGTACTTTCAGACGTATTTTTATTTACAGTATTTATGATAATACATGTTAAAATAATTTCCTTGACTAAAATGTGTAAACTATGTTCAGTATTTCTTTGGTTTTATCTGATTTATTCTGCACTATATGTGGAGACTGGTTTTTGAGACCCTGGATTGTAGCCTAGAGGTCAACTCTTCGCTGGATGCAGATGGCGAGCGAGTCTCAGAGATGATGCACCCAGGTGCTTCAGATCCCATTCAACAGGACTGACACATCAGATTACAGGACACTGGCAGATAAGAAAGATCCACCACACGTTCATTATCCTGCCCAGGTAGAGGTACAAATAACTGAAAGACACTGGACACCTTTTACAATTAAATTTTTTATGAAAGAGCTCTTCTTATTCTGGGGATTGTTTCAGTCATGGTTGGTGCATTATGAGAGTGTTAAAGGCGCTGTAATAAACCTGCCCACTTTAATCACACACAGTCTCTTTCTTACCCCAACACTACTTCTCAGAACCTAGGTTGGTAAGTTAGCTAAAGTTCTACACAAGTGTTAAATATTCTACACCTGTCTTTAGCATTCAAAAACTATGCCACAGGGCTTTCCCTATTACATTGAACTATGATGTTAAGGGCCTCCCAAGTGTGTTATAAAGGACATAGACCATTGGTCCATATGTGACGACTTGGGAGTGAGAACGGGTTGGGTTGTAGATGGTTCATTTTATATCAACAGTTGTACAGTTTATGCAGCAATAGTCTCTCGTGTTGTTGTGTTTTGTTTTGTGAATGAATGGGTGAAAGGCATTTTGTAATAAATAATATGTTCTGTATCCCTTTGTAGTAAATGCTTGTAACTACCTGAATTAATCATGAAATACTTTATTAACAAATTGTAGTATCCAATATTTGTGCATTTGACTCATAACAGTTCAAAATAGCACTGTAGCAGCAGGACAGAGGGTCAGTGACCTTCTACGGGGAGAGCAGTGATTGGTGGTCATATAGGGACTGAACCCTTCTATAGAATTTGACCTCTAACCCCTTGTTTTGTTACCTCAGAATAGTACTGTACCCTTCTATGGGTTTGACCTTTTATTTTGCAGACTCAAACCCTTCTATGGTACCTAACAGATGCCTAAACATGTCCTATATAAGCTTTCAGTGGTCATCGGGCTGGGTCACTCTCCAAGCTGCTGCAGAGCTTGTAATTGATGCTGAACTCCTTGATGTAATAAACTTTTATGCTCAAGAACAGTGTCAAGCGGGTTCCTTCTCAACACATCATCGCAGCATTATTGTTCGGACACCACAAAATGTTTAGAGAATATCTATTGCCTTTAAATTTCATTTGTAAATTGTTAATGAGAAGTAGATAATCTTCACTTTAGATGAGCTCACGCAAAATACTTTACTAACCATTAGTAACTACCAGAATTAATCATGAATTGCAGTATTAGTAAGTGTCATAAAACATCTATGGACACGCACTATTAGACCATTTCTAAATAACTACATGTCAAGTTAGCGGTTGATCAAAGCACTGGGGGGGAGTAAGATTGGTGTCTTTAAACGGAAAAGCAACCCTTTGCTCGTCCCATCACAGCAGATCTCTGGAAGCGCAGATCTTGGAGATTTGATGAGGAGTTCAGAGAAACGGTACCAGGCCTATAACGGTGAGGTTTTTACCCTGTAAAGTTAGCTGGGGCATCTTTCAGGTAGTCTCAGTAGCATCCTTTGGGCTTTGCCACTGGTAGATTTACGACGCTGAGATTGTTTATATTCTGTCTCGGGAAAGTATCAAAAAACAGGCAGTTAAGTAATCACTTTCCAAATGATCTTATGAACCATTAATAACTCATATATAAATGGTGAACCGATTATATATGAAGTAAGAAACATAATATATATATGTATAATTATGTTTATAAATGACTTACTAATGTGTATTAACGTAAGAACAATGGTTTATAAATGATGAATTAAAAATGTACTAATACTTAACTGTTTCATAGTGTGTAGATAATAAAGAACAAAACATTTATAACTCAGCAGAGACTACTGGATGCGCCAAGGGTCAAACTAGCGCTGCTTTAAGGCCCGTATTTTTCATGTGGGCTACAGTCTATGGTAAGGAAGAGACATGGTTGAGAAGGACGGCTTGACCAGAAACCATACTTTTACTTTTTTCCTGTGTTAAACACAAAGTCAATATTGAGGGTTTTTTTATTCGGTTGCGTATAGAACGCAAGTAACGTTCTGTTTCAAAACGTTATTCACTAGTTTTACTTTGAAAGCGTAACCGGACGTTGCGTATTTATTGTTGCTAGCTTGACCACCGAGATGTCCAAAAACAACACTAAAGGGGTGTTAAGGTGTTAACCCAGGCCGTAGTAAAGCTGAGACTTAAGCCTAACTAAGACTTTTTTCAATCTTATTTGTAATGTTTTGTATGGACAAGATAGTCCTTACTTTAGAGAGAAAAATGATCGTATGAACCATAGGCGCATATATATGTTTTTTCATTGGAATAACACTTTTTATCAAATACAATCATTAAGCACATCATTGATGATTTCTCTTAGAGAAACGGTACCAGGCCTGTAACGGTGAGGCTTTTACCCAGTAATGTTAGCTGGGGCATCTTTCAGGTAGTCTCAGTAGCATCCTTTGGGCTTTGCCACTGGTAGATTTATGAGTTATGCTGAGATTGTTTATATTCTTTCTCAGGAAAGTATCAAAAAACAGGCAGTTAACTTATGTCATAATTTTTTTTAAACTTTCCAAATGATCTTATGAACCATTAACAATTCGCATATAAATGGTTGTCATTAAAATAATACTTCATTTATAAATAGTGAACTGATCATGTATAAAGTATGAAAATACAATTATTAAGCATATTATAGACAAGCTTATTAATAAAGAATACAACATGTATAATTATGTTTATAAATGACTTACTAATGTGTATTAACGTAAGAACAATGGTTTATAAATGA